GCGCAACGAAAGTCCGCTTTAATACATTGGAGGGCAAACGCGTGTCTCCGGTGGCTGCAGAGGGTGGAACACGAGTTTGGCCGTGTGCTCTTTACCCTTTATATAACCGTCTATAACACCGCCCCCGTATGCACGGCAGCGAAACGATGCGTTGGCTTCGCTGAATGTTGCGCCCGTGCCCACGTACGGGAAAACTGGATCCGCACAACGTACGAGAGAGAGAGAGAGAGAGAGAGAGAGAGAGAGAGAGAGAGAGAGAGAGGGGCGCCGAGGTACATGGTCTATTCATGCGCAAAGTCTTCCACCGAGAGGCGAGCGCGCGGCAAGAAAAGTGAGAAGGTGTCGCCTGTACGCGGTATCTATTCCGGGCTTAACCGTGCCGCTTCCCAAGACCGGGGCTATATACTGAGAAATCGCTGAGGAAATAACGCGAAAGTTTATTCTCTCATTCGCACACGTGACAAAGTCAAACCGCAGCCCGGTAAAGTCATTGCGAGTCGTTGGGAAAAATTTACATTTTCTAAAGATACGAGAGAAATATATTCTAAAAAAAAAAGCAGTATTTTTTCTACGTGCAAACATCCTCGATTGTAAATTTAAAAAAAAAACCAGGATATTAATATATGTATATTGTAAAAATGTAAAGAATATAGTGTTATACAAAAAAATTTTTAACTGTATTTCTTTTTTAGAATAGAGATTTTGATCTTTTTCCTGAAAAGTGACTTTTTCTCTAACTTTTACGTATAACAGTTGATATATTTTATAAAGATTAAGTGAAAATTAACAGTTTGTAACGTAATGATTCGGTAACAGGATGCAATAACCATTACTTCGCGCTCTTTGCACGCCGTTCGATTATTTTTATTATCTGTCTCGCAGAAGACAGCAAACGAAAACGTATAGGACGAATATATCGCGGTCTAATCGTGGACGCGTCTCGCGAACAATGCCGCGACGGAAATCCACGAAAGACGAACGGTGGTTTTCTCTCTCGCAAAGTACGAAAGTACACCGGCGACTTTGCGATATGGCCAATAAATTCGCCTGGTCGCACCGGCGCGGCGGCGGCACGGAAGAGGGAAGGTAAATCGCACAATACGATACTCGACTGAAACGGCCACTGCCAAGTGGAGGCCGCTGCAGCGACGAGAACGGCACGGCCGGCGTGTGTGCCGCACGGAAACTTCTTTCTTCTCCTCTCCTCAACTATTATCTTGCCAGTTTGTACCAGGTGCACCGGGGTAGAAACGCCACCGTCGTGCGGTGACGACGGGGGGGAACGGCGGGAGGATGTTGCGCGGACGCTTGGTACGACGACGACGACGACGACGAGGGATGGAGGGAATCGCACGGCGCACTCCTGCTTTACATTTTATTGCCCGACGTGGATTCGACCGATTTACATAAAGAGACGAACGCTGTAGTTACATTGGCGGACTGTGAAAGCGACCGGGGAAGAGGAGGAGGAGAAGGAGGAAGAAGAGGAGAAGGAGGAAAAGGTGGAAATCGAGGGATGTTTCTCGTGTCTCCCACCAACTTGAGAGGGTAGGAGCACTGCATGCCGTTTGTCGCCCAGGACGAGAAATTTGCGATGCAGGAGGTGTGTGAAACGCGGATGCCAATACGTATCTCCCTTCCTCTCCTCCTTCCCCCCCTCTCTCTCTCACTCTCTCTTTGTTTTCTTTTTTCTTCCTCTTTCGCTCTCCTCCTATAAGTTGACTTTTTCTCGTACTCATTTATTTAACATTCCCCGGGACAGTTTTACGTAGAAAATTCTTCGTGAACTGAAATTCTTTTGAGACTGATACTCTCCGGAATTGCCGGAACGTAGGACGGTAGCGGATATTGTGTGCCCGTCGGAATGCACAGTCGTATGACAATAGCGAGTTGTAACGCAATGAAATGAGTGGTCTGTAACCAGGTAACCAGGGAATCGCGATCGATGAAAGTTTACACGACGACGTGTAGCGTAATTGACTCTGGTAGAAATCATATATATATATATATATATATTCTCCTCTCCCGCAATATGTGTGTGTGTGTGTGTATGTGTGTGTGTGTGTGTGTGTGTGTGTGTGTGTGTGTGTGTGTAAAGTGTTTTCTACATGCAAAAATCTGAAATAAACACTGTCCCAATTCGACTTTAGTTAGTTTTATTCCCGCTGAGCGAAGATAGATACAACATGCCTTTTTTTTCAAAAGAAGACAACTCTTCCCAACACGCACGCAGAGCCAGTTGCGCTAACAGAATCGCCAACGTCCTAATTCCACAACTTTAGGGGGATAAACGCGGAGCAACGGATTTCCTCTGCGGCGAATTTTCGAAAGTAACGAGTGCCAGCGAAAGACTCGAAAGAAGGACAATGACGTCACGTTATCGTCATCGTCGTCGTCGTCGCAATTAGCGATAATTACACGCGTCTAAATCTGGCACGCGGGAATCGCGGAATTCAACTTCGCCCGCTCGCTTCTTGATTCCTCGACCAGCTCCTCGAACGGATCGCTCTCTCTTTCTTTCTTTTGCCTCCTCCTCGTTCCCTCTCTAGGGTGCCGCAAATCCTCCGGACTGTCGGATCAAGAAGTACCCGCCAGTTAATTAGCTTAACGTCTATGAATTACGGGCGAAATTTCCTCGAGAACTTGTCTCCCGTTCCTTTTCCCGAGGGAAGAGCGAGAGGGAGAGGGTGGGGAGAGAGGAGAGAAGCGCGCTCGCGATTGCGATGGGCTCGCGCGCGTAAACCATTTCTACCGGAGTCACCCCGCCACGGCTGAGGTGCTGGACCGTTCGTTGTAACTTTGCAATCTACATGGTGCACGCGGTCGTCACGGTCCCCTGCATAATGTATAGCTCGGCAAATGTTTAATGTTGACCCCCTTTTCCCCGCGGAATGCAGAATTTCGCCGAAATTTGCGAACAGACCGAATTGAGCAGATTTAATGCGATTACACAATTCATCGAACACGATCTACGTATTATGAATTGACATGATTATCTCGCAGTATAATCAATTAAGAAAGACACTTTGCATTTTCTGTACATAATATTGATCTAATATCAAACAAATGTATACATAATCCTAGTAATTTAAAAAGTAACAAATTTGTTTTACTTTACTGTAACTGATAAATATAAATATACAAAATAAAAATAATAGTAAATTATATAGTTCGAATGTCCTAGATGCAAAAAGTCGCCTAATTTAATTTCACATAAAAAGAAAATTTAATTAGATGGACAAAAAAATCAAGAGGACAAAAACGTTGACGAAATCGAAAAAGATTGAGACATTAATAGGAATTTACCTTATTTTTAGTCCTTGTGCTTTTCATTATAAATGCTAAAATTTCATGTGTCAATAATCAATCCTAAAATTATAGACTCAATTCTCCGTTTCCATTTATAGTCATTTAATCTGTAGCGTGAAAAGGAGATAAAAAATTAATTTAATCTCCAAATTCCTCAAACGACGAAACGAGAAAATTCTATTGTTTATGATTGACTTTAATTTGAAGTTATACATATAAAATATTATGAAATTAAAATTTACTTTGAGCTTTAAAGGCAAAAGGCACACAATTTTTTTCGGAATTAACGAAAATTAATTCATTTCCTAATTACATCTCGTAATAAAAAGTAACGTTAGCAGAATAATGTAATTTTGCAACTCACAAAAAATATTATTAATGAATAAACAATGTATATTTATACTAGGAGAATGAGAAGCTTATAATTATTTTAATATAACATGCGGCACTGAAACGAGCGGATTCGGAAGAATTTGAAGAGGCCACCATGTATACCGTTACAATTCGGAAGACAAAACGTAGTCGGACCGTTATCTAACGGCCATTTCTTAAGTTCGTAAATACGCTGCGAGTGAAAGCGCGATTCAATATTTAAACGCGGTCCCGTCGTAATACACCGACACTGACTAGAGCGCGCGGCTTGTATCGTTGCTGAGCTGGCGCGCTATCATAAATTGAACTTGCTGGCATTGCGTCTCTTATATTAAATAACCGCGAGAGAGAAACTCCCGTGATTGCTGCTCGTGATAGTAAATCCAGTTTGGCATGCGAGCACAAACACTGATATTCAACGCGGAAAGAGAGAACAACGTGTTTTTTATAAGTTTTTCGACTGTTATAACTGTAAGCGTTATTGCAGCCAATTGCTTCGTAAATTTCTGACTTTAGAACACTTCAACAATTATTTTCCACACGTTTCATCGGGCGCGGCAGGATAAGAGGAAATTTTTTATTAAAGCTAAAAATAAGAAATGACCTATGTGATATAAAAAGGAGAATGTCAGATGGCTCGAAACTGGTAAACAGAATCAATTTTTCTTCTCGATAAGGCAATAAATTCCTCAAAGTAAAGCGAGACAAAGACAGCGAGACAGAATATATTCGCATTATAATTAATATCTAATTAATAAAATAAAATAATGTCGATACGCGCGATCTGTACGAGCGAAGCCATACGTTGAATCAGTCTTGACCACCATCTTTAATCGGATCCAGATACCACTGACCTAACAAGGACATACCGAGAACGTGCGGGCGGCACATACTGGCAACTTTGTCCGCGATCGCTTTACGACCGGTGTGTAGGAGTAAGAGATACACGTATACGCCAATTTCGAAATACCATTTGCAAGAGGTCGTACAGTCACTTGCCTGCAGAGATACTTCCGTCTGAGTACCGTTAAAAAAAAATCGCGCAAAATTCTTCAACGTCGCAGAAGAATCGCCGAGATCGTGAAATTTAAAATTTTTCACGAGGTTATTCGAAGACAATTCGTCGTATCTTGATTTAGAATTGGACGTCCGACGATGATCCTGATATTTCAACAGAGATACTCTTCGGATGTCCAGATTCCGTATCGATCTCTATACCCGTCTTTGCACGGAACACATCGCGAACGAGGGAAGGATGAATTCACCGTGTGTGTACCCGAGATAGAGAGGAGGAGTTTGCTTATGGGACTCACACTCACCTGTCAAGCGTCTTCAGGTTTAAAATCAGGGGTTGCTCGGAGTCGGTGACGTCGCGACGTATCCGGTTGCGATGTCGTCTCAAGGCTACGGTGTCATATGTGGCTGGCTCGTAGTATCTGATATACGAGCTGCGCGTGATATCTGAAAAGCACACGGGGAGGAAACGGATGTTCTATTAGTGGCCGTCTAAGAAAAATGCGTTGCGCAAACGGTAAACCGCGAGTCACGCGAAGATGAGTCGCACACCGTAAAGATGCGTTTGTATCAGACGTGAAATCACAGGTGTGATTGAGAAGGCGAACGAGCGTTCATCAGATAAATAAAAAAAGAATCGTTCCGTTAACTTTTTCTACGAAGAAAAAAGAACGCAACGTGAAGCTCCGAGAATTGTAAGATTCATTTTGCCATTGTTGATTATTATAACTTCTTTGTACAAACAAATGCATAATTAACAGTGCAAAATTACCTGTAAAAAAATATTTTTAAATTCCTTTTCATATATATAAAAAAAGTTTAATTTAATTAAAATTGTAATTTAAGAATAATAATTCTACATTGTTATTACAGCATATTAATGCTACAAAGTTGAGAAAAAAAAACTCGACTAGTCCAGACTAATTTTTTTAACATATCGTAGCTTTTCTTGTCAGATCTTGAGTTCTGTCACATGATATAAACGCACCTTAAAGCGTAAATAATTCACGCTCGATTGCTCACGGTGAGGAAAAAACGCGATGACTATTACCGCGTTTTTTCTTTACTTTCTGAGATCATTGCAAAATTCGAAGGCGCGTAGGTCGGACATGGCACTTTCACTGCGTGATTTATTAAAAAAAAACCACCGTGACAAATCTTAAAAGTTAGAAAATATAATTTACATACACGAAAAATAGAAATAGATTTTAATATTTTCGTATCTTTATATTTAAATGATCAAAATTGAAACTATTCTCAGAGCCTTTTTATACGTTCACGACAACCGCAATGAAACGTAAATCAAGCATATCATATCTATCATTAAATGCACAATGGCGGATTGAATCAAAGTATTTATACTTACGAAAATTCTGATCCGACATTTATCGGAATATATTAACATATTATGACAGAATATAAATTTAACCCGCACAATATCCACATTTACAGATAGAAACTAGACAATCATATTTAGCACCGAGTATGCAAAGATAGTCAATGTATAATAATAACGCATTGAGATTTATATAATGTACTGAGATTTAGATTGCATTCCTTTCGTAGAAATACGACCCAAATTTCTCAATCGTAACAAAAAAGATCAATGGAAGAAAGTAATTGTTCAAATTATTTTATTTCTTTCCTTTACGATTAAAATAAGTCTGAGATGCACTGAAATGTTTTGCCACTGGCAATACTCGCAATATTTACTATTACTTACGTAGTTATTCAGCTTACGCTCTCTCATTGACATTATCTCCTGTCGCTAATGTGATTTCGTATCAAAGACTCTACTTCTTTCACCCTATTCAATCTACTTGCGCTTCAGTAGATGCGCGACGTCTCATCGTAAAAGCGCTGCGCAAAATCAATTAATTTATTTCCAAGCGCATTATGTACGCGTTGCGAAATGTTACACTCACTTCGCAGAACTCGCTTAATATTTTAGGATGAAAGGATGACGGAAATTTTAAGAGAAAACGAACGCTCGAGCATTCACCACGGCCACTCGGTCAAGAGAGCACCTCAGAGACGCGTTTTCGGATCTCGGACGAGTGCAGCAGCCGAAGTGCACTTGTTTCGCGTCCACTTTACCGAGAGGATGCACTGCACACATTAACCGTCATCCCCGCCGAGCTGGATTTTAATACGGCAAATTTAATAGTATTCCGATATTTTTGTAATATATCCAAAAGCGGTCCGCCGATACCGGTCCGGGAAATAATTTAACGGCACGCGCTCGAAAAGCATAAAAATAAAATCAATAACGTTTAACCCCCGAAGATTGGAGAATTTCAACGGATATTTCAGGAACGTGAAAAATAAAATTCTATTCATTCTGTATAATTTTATTAATTGTAATCGCGTAGAGCAGCGCCGTTAAATACAGATATTAGATCAGTAGGTGAATGGAAGAGTATTAATGCGTGATCGAGGTACGGTGTGGCTTAACAGTGATCGTTTGGCAAACTCTCGGATTCAGTCCAGTCACGTTCGGATCCATTTATCTGCGCCCTATATCTTTTCTCCCTTCCTTACCTAATTATTGTTTATTTCGCGAGAGAGCGAAAGTTGAGAAACAAACGGAAACAAAAAATCGTTCATCATCATAAAAAATTATTCGTCCAATTAGATAACTTTTTACCGTATTATTTCTTATAATAAATTTTTGTTTCATCTCACGCAAGCTGTAGACCGCTAATTATACCTCTCCCAATCTTCTCAAAATCGAATGAATTTAAGGAATCTAAGATACGATACACATTACGCAAACTATCAGTATTTTAACAAGCGGACAATTTGAACACGTGACTTAAGCAACTTTCGGAGTAAATGGCCCGGACGATCAATGGGACAACACGAAGCGCAGTTTGTGCCACGTGCCCCCAGATCACAATTAGAGCATCGTTTAGAGTCGCGTACCATTGTCTCCGTAAATACTACCGACCGAGCGATCGGAACACAAAAGGAACACGCTACACAAAGGCGAGTATCGGATTTTGGGGCCATTACCGATGCGGGCGGACCCCTTCGGGACATCGAATGGCGCGGTGTTTTGATATACGTCGTCCTGAGACTCGCGTGGGCACACGCGGCATTGCGAATAAATCAATATTTTTTCAATTTAAACTTTATTAAATCAAATTCAGCAATTTTCCTTCCGATATATCATACATTTAGCACCTTATATAGATAGCTGGAATATTGGCGATTTTATAATAAGAGAATAAACGAGCCAAGTTTTGTTACTCCGTTCTAAAAATATCCTAACTTAAAAATAAAGATGCATTTTGGTAATATTGATATAAACAGAATTAATTAAATATTATAATTTAATAATACTAATATTTGAAATATTAAAACTATTTGAACGAGTGGCAAAATAAGTCTTAAAAAACAAAGAGCTCAAGATTTGCCAGTTAAAATTTTCTAAATTATCATTATCATCGTTCCTGAAGTAAAATTACGAAAATAATGCATAAAATATGTGGCTTTAAACTTTCTCTTATCATTTTATTATTAATTTGACTAATAATTCTTCGAAAAATAATCTCGAATTTCTATGTGGCATAAGAAAATTAAATAACGCGCAAAAGATGACATTTGATCTGCAAAAAGTTTATTTTTTCCAACTTAATTTCCAATACGATATGCCCCGATTTCGAAGACACTTGTCGCACCAAGGACAGATACGAATTTCGGGGACATCGAGTCAACTTCGTTTTAACGAAGAATCAACGAAGAGTGTGAAATGTGACTCACCTTTGTGCGGTGGTGCGGGATGAAGGGGAGACGCGTCGACGACGGTCATCAGATTCCAGACGGACAGCAGCAACAGCACAAAGAAAATCGGACACGTTGTGATGGACCATTGACTCCTGCCCCCCACTGTCGCGGCAGCCGCGGAGCGCATCGCGGGCCCGCGGGCCCCGTGGTGATGCCCCGCACGGCACTCCGCCTCCTCTTCCTCGTCCTCCTCCTCCTCCTCCTCCCCTTCTTCACCCACGGCCAGGGCCGCAACGCGCATGGGCCCGATGTTCCGTGCCCCGGCACCGACTAATGGCGCTATCTGCCTTTCGTCGAGGAGTCGACCACCGCAGCACTTTGCCAATCACCTACCAAGATCATTTCTCCGTCCTTCTCCGGTCGTCCTCCCCCTCCTCCTCTTGCCCTTCCTGCCCACTCTCCGCCACCCCTTTCTCTCCGCCACCTCCTCCGCGTCTTGATCCGTAGGTCGCTCAACCTTTCGACCCCTCTGCCGTCTCCACCACCGCCGCGTCTCCTCTTCGCTTTCAGCCTTCCTCTTTTTTTTCTTCTTCCCTTTTTCAGCCGGTTCCACCTCGCTTTACCTTCGACGGCGGATCGACTCCTCCTCGTCGTCCTCTTTCCTCTTCGACGTTCACCACCTTCGTGCGCCGCTCTCCGGCCGTCGATCGATCCTGTTGACAAGAATGTGCAACAAAAAATTGATCGCAAGAGCCAAGAATACGCAACACTATTTTGTAAAATCCAAAAAAAAAAAACGAGTTAAATTAAAGCGAACGCTTTTTCGTTACCGCACAAACTTGCCGCGTTGCGAAATTACTTACGCGCTCGTTTTCATGCACAAGGAAGTGATAGGGGTGGCCGAGTGTTTACCTCGTAAAAGTAAACTTGTAAACCGTAAAACTTTCAAGTCAGAGGGGTAGGGGAGGGCGGGGGGCAAAGGGGACCAAGATAGAGCGTTGTCGACTCGACAATTGCGGCTGGAGGATTGTTCGTGCGAGCGGTGATCTCGTATGTAATGTGGCACGATAATGGTGTGTGTGTATGCAACGGGGACTGCACAAGGGATTGCACGCATACAACTCTGCGTTACATTAAATAAGAATTTGTAAAAATAATCCAGACATAGTTTAATAATTTTGTATATTCAAGAAGCCCGTCTGATGTATATTTAACGTTCACAGAGATATATGAAAATTTAATATCCAAAAAGATAAATTGTATGAATACGAATTTTCTCAAGTCCCTTATAAAATTTCATGAATTATTTGCCGACTCGTTGAATAGTGAACAGTTCGATTACTCGAGATTATTCGTGATACAAACTAATCCCAAGTAGACGTGGAAATTCGGTATGTATAACATATAACAATACAGGTGTGATTATTAATGAGCAGCGACGATTAAAAATGCTCGTGAAATACATCAGTTTTGCAGCGCGCAAACAGTTTGCATTTTTCATGGAAAAAGTTCTGAAATATGCAAATGAAACGCGCGACTAGTACGAGAGAGAGAGTGACTTTCGTATTGTTAATACTCGCCGAGCGAAACTGCTTTATTTCTCTGGAAACGGTGACTTCACTGGTAGAAATACAATTAGTAATAGACACCGTACGGTGCCCACAATCCTATTTCGACGTTATCGCCCTTTATACACTCTGAGATGCAGATCGCGAAAAAAATATACATTTCACGAGTTGAATAATAATAATGCGGGCGGCAGCGAAGCAAACTCAGAAACGTGGAACATTGCATTTTACAAAAATATGTCACGAAGTACAGAGATAATAATTGGAAAACTAGTACGTCGAGAAAAATTACAAATTTTTTATTCGATATAATAGAATTGTATAACTACCGTTCCATTTTCGATCTATTGTGTTAGCTCGGTTTCCGTGACGTATTAAGTAAGCCGCGTATAGTATTTCATGCGAAAGATAGTTCATATATATATATTTTTTTTTTTCATGAAAGTTCAGTCTAGCAGCCTCATCGAAAAGAAACTGGTTCACGTATACCCTTGTGCCTTGTCGACTCAGTCGTATTCGCAAAAGCGCAAAATGAAATAATGGACAGGATGCGTTCTCGGGAAAGGACATCATGTACGTGCATATGAACTATATATATATATATATATATAAACTTTAACATATCCCGACCTGGCGTGCCGTGGCAACGTCAAGAAACGCACGCTCTAATGGGTAAATAAAAGTGCATGCATCGCGACGGCGCGGTGGGCTTCGCGTCGCGTCAGCGTGCAAGCTCGACATCACCGAGGACGATAATACGTTTTTCCACGATGACGCGACGCATAATCCGCGAATAAATCATGTTTACGCTTAAGCTCGTGAGCAATGAACAACGGACGTCACCGACGGATTCTTTAGTGTATTTCGCTTCGCGATGAAGTCCGAAGTGACAAAGAGACCGAAAAATACCGAGTCAAAATTAAATTCCAAGTATATATTTTAATGTAAAGTATCAATCAAAATGCGAATAAAAATAATCAGTATAATTGAAAGACTGAGAAACTTTATCTTGCCTCTTAATACAAGGCTGTACTGTCTATAAAGTAATTATGATGTTGAACAAAAAGAGGCTACGGCTGAACTCGAAAAAAGTTGCAAGCAAATTTACAGAAACTTCAACTTCAAAATGTCAACGTTCCATTGATGACTTTGTTCAAATGTTATTTTAACCCGATTCAACAAAAATCCCCGAGTGTCGAGAGCGAAGAGGCTTTGTCAAAAAATGGGACCCTGATCGTGTTCATTTTCTCGCGCGTCGCACGTTCTCCTTTCCGGGCCGATGTAAAGTTCACAATTAGGTAGGTAGGACGCGCGATATTTCAAGGAACTCTAAAGTTCGTTGCCGAAATAAATTACATGGGGCGCTGCTGCGGAGCACTGCGGTCGGATACACTTTCCCGGGTACACTGTGTAGAGGCGGTCCCCGAGCGGGATAGACACTACATTCCGAAAATGGAATGTCGACGCGATGTTCGTACGAGGAGGAGCTTTATCGCGCCTCCGTCCGTGCAGGCGGAAGAATGACCTGGCGCGGCGAAAGCCATTACTCGCATTTCGCAAGTCCTGGCACGGCGAAACGGCGAATTTACACGGTTCGCATTTGATGATCATTCCGGGGACGAGTCGTCCAAAGTGAGAAGGAAACGACTCACGCAAACGATGTTAAAATAAAATAATCATTGATAGATGATAAAGAGAGAGAAAGAGAGTACGATATTAATTTTAGAATTGTTGTGGAGGTATACAGATATACACTTCTTTAAAAATAATAATCAGAACACTTTCTTAGTTTTTAATGTAAAAGCGTTGCTAATAAGTACAATTTCGTAAAAAATATATTAGTAACGGAAATATATATATAGTTTCTTATAATATTATACATGAATTAGTAATAAATACTAGTAACGATATCTATTTATACGAGATACAAGTATAAAATTGAGATTACATTTAAGAACCTTAATTTATTTACTGCAGCTATTAGTGAAGTTCATATTTTGTGCAGCCAATTTCTATTTCTCTCATCTCTAAATGCGGATGATCACCGCTGTGAAAGGAAGCTTTCGTTTTTCTTAGTTTTTTTTTTCATCGAGTTGAGAATCCCAATGAATTCGCCTTGAGCCGAAGAAAACCCGTTTCCTCCAAGATGCATTTACACTTCGAATGATTCATCCGCGTGGGCACGCGGGACCAGGTTATTTTTTTCTTAAGAGAATAAATGAATCTTAGCATACAAAACTCGCGAGTTCTCTCGTAAGCTACTACGGCTGCTACCAGACAATGGAATGTGAAATCCGGCCTCGACATCTTGGGAGGCGTCAACACGAGCGCTCTCTCTCTCTCTCTCTCTCTCTCGGCTTATCATCTATTAATACAAAACGCCACGCTCTATCTATTATATATCAGGATCTGACTAGGATCTCTCGTCGCGATACGTCACCGAAATTCCACCGTGGATAGTCCAAAGAGAGATATCGACAGACGAGGGACCGACACCGCAGAGGATTAGCGTGTCGTAAGCGTCGTTCGCCGGGGAACACGATCGGACAATTTTCCGTCGAGCGCGCGCCTCGCTGAACCGTTACCTCGCAAGGAGCGCGCGCCAGCGAGAAACACGTTTTGCGTAATGTCCAAGCGGCAGAGCCCGGACGAATAGAACAATTACGAAGGAGCCGACCCGGCACGCCGCGTACCGTCCGAACGACGATCGAACCTTCTTTACAATCACAGATGAATTTTACGCCGCGTCTTAAAAGTTCGCCCACTCACAGAACGTACAGCTTTCGTAATCCGCGCTATTAAAAATCTCACACAAGAGATTCAAAATCTATTTTTATCCTCTAAATAAGATGAAGTTGACTTCATTAGTGCGAGAAAGAGAAATTAGTAATAAAAATCAAATATCTTATCGTAACACACATATATCCCAAGAAATTAAAAAAACTCAATATTTAATTACAGAATAAAATTTAGGTGTATTGATTTCCAACTGAATCAGTTTTAAAAACTTAATTGATCTCTTTCGCTTATCGATACATTCTGTAATTATCGATCAACAATAGCCAGAAAACATGTTATAATTTCACCTTCCAGCGAATCTCTTTCCTATTTGAGATATACCTTTATGAAACCTTTCACTATGCTTGGTCGCTAATTGTTCGGAATTTGTGTGGAAAGATTTCCAGATGAGATTTCTCGAGATGTGTAATTTTAATGGTATTTTCTAATGGTATGTTGCATTACGCAAAAACAACGACGATATTTTTGTAACTCTCGTGCTGAAAACTAATCGTATAAAAATTTATCTAAAAAGTTAGGGGCCGCAACTACGCTGAATCTATTTTCATAGTCATGTTTTACGCAACTTTATTGAAAAATTTTCGCGGTAAATTTAATTTTAAGAGAAAGTTTTATTTTTAAGTTTATATGGAATTTTTCTGAAGTAGCGCTTTTAGTATATAGAAAACACTGCGTCTGAAGTGTATGAATTACATTCAGACAACGGGTTAACATTCATTACGTTCATAAAAAACGCTTGTTACAATAAAGAACAGCCTTAGTACGTTATAGTTTACAAATTCTTTCAACTGTTTTTTCCATACTATACGCTCGCGTATATTTTTCCTCAAATTAAGGTCGGCCTTGTAACGCACTGTATAACATTCTAGAAATCTTTTTCGACATATCAAACTAACCGAATGATAGTGTTGAGATTCATAATGTTATTCGCGTGTGCTGCGCGATCCATTGGGATTTCAGAGTATGTATTATGAATTTCTAGCCCAGTTTCACATTTAGTTGGAGAAGCAAAGTCAGAAATTCGAAACAATCCTCTACCCCCCTTCCGCCCTCTCCCCCCTCCCCTCTTTCCGCAATTTGCGCCGCGCATCTAATTATATAACTGAAAGGTCTGGTGCGAAAGAAAAGTCAATCTTCATATTAAATCGCGCTAAATTATCCCGGGACGGCGCACAAAATTCGCACTCTGTATTAACCGGCGCACGGGGAAGCGCTTTAAATACGCTAATTGTTATTTCTCGTTGTGTCTGTGTGTGTATGTGTGTGTGTGTGTGTGTAATACGCGCCTATCATAATTTCCGAACGTTCAAAAACCCAATCCCCGCAATTCGTAAATACCATTTAATTCCCACGACTGTTTTATTTTAATCCTCGTAACGGATCCTCGTAATATGGAATAATAATCGCCCTGTTGTTACATCTGGCAGGTATACGTACGGTGATGTTAACGGTTAACTATTCCCGCCACTTTGTCTCCCGAAACTATCGCGCGCGGTATAACGACGAGTGCCCATTCTCTGGTGGCTTTTTGGCATAACATAAAGTACACGGCCTCTCTTCGTGAGATACAAGAAACACATCGTGCATGCCTGGACTTTCCCCTTTGGCTTCGCGACCGAACTTTGCGAGCTTTACTCAAGTGCCCTGACGAGCAGTTACCAGTTTTCTGTCGCAAATATTTCCCGACGTTTAGCACCGTCTTCCGGCCACAGCCGATTCAAGTCGAGTCGGGGAAAACCAGCTCGTCCCTCGCCGTCGCGAGTGCTCTGAAAGGCGTGTGTAATTTATGCAAATTGTTTGATGTAAAACGACATATCTAAACAAGCGAAATTGCATGATGCCACAGGCTCGCGAAGGGTCATCGACGGTTTTTCAATTATCTTAAAGTCCAAAGATATATTTTTGTAACATGGTATATCTAAGAGACTTATATATACGCAAAGGTTTCACCGGAAAAGAACACTAGAAGATGAAAAAAAATCGCGAATCCTTTGCAGTTAACATCTCATTCAATATAAAAGTTTAATATAATTTTTTTATTTCGATGATGGCATTACGAATGTGATTATATCTATAAATACTTTACATATCTTATCTTATAACATTTCAAATTCGCGTTTATGTTACTTTAAATTAAAAGTGGTACATTACCACTATTTTGAATTAAACTTGATAGTTACTGTGTAATAAAAATGTGTCACTAATCGATAAACTAAAAAAATAAAAAATCGCGAGATTCATATTTCATTTGATCCTGTGTACGTAATTCATTATAATCACTCGCGTATTCTCGTATTTGTAACGTAACGATATTCTCTTCACGGAGTTTGAATACGAGCTGTAATTTTATACAACAGACAAAGCGTGATATCACCTTGCTCCTACCCCTTTTCTGTGCAACACAAATTTCTCCCGTGATCCGTTCTCCTATACTTGTGAAATTCTCCTCACCTGAATCAAATTGTTACCGGCGTCGGGAATTACGGTTGCGCGCCGCGATTTGACGGGACAGGGAGAACCGGGGAACGCTGACTCGTCACGACAAGTTATATCCTGATTCGTCACGTCGACCGCCGCGCGGCCGCATACACGGCCAAGTTTCGCGCGCCTCGCTTCGCGCGAGAGATCCGACCCCCGGCTTCAATCACGTATGTACGTTCCTTTCATTCTGATCGGGACGTAACGCGACGGGACGGCGCGGCGTGAGCGTTCGAATGTGACGAAACACAGGGGGGACTCGGCGGCGTAAACATGCATGCATAAACACACGCGAGATGTCCCGTCAATCCCGTCAATTGCCGCGTTACCCTTTCAATGATAGACGGCCCCCGCGCGCCGACGAAAATGGCGGTTTATTTCGACGATATCGCGAGACGCGCGTGTATACTTTTACAGTTTACCTACGCGTTAACGTGCATCCTGCGCGGATTTCGATTTCAAGGGCAAGCGTAGCGTACGACGAGCAGCGGAGTACCTATATCTTTTAATTCCAACGGAATTCCTAATTCGGCGCGCGCAAAGATTGATATCGGATCGCTCGACGGGCGGAAATTCAAACGCGTTTCCGCGAAAAATGGCGCCACCTCTCTTTGAATTTTACCCGAGGAGACGCGACCCGCGGTTTTCGTTCGACCGCTCCGAGATCTCCGATTACTCCGAATTCGTCGGAGGACACGCGGAACTACCGCGGAGCGTGTCCCCCAGTGCACGCGCGCTCGTCGCGATACACACACCAGCAGGCAATGTGCGCCTGCCCTGCGCGTCTGTACACTCACCGAGGCGCAGACACTCGTTGTTGCTCCGCGAGTCCTGGTGCCGCTAGCAGGCACCGCGGGCGTGCTCCGCCGCCGTCGCCGCCGCCGCCGTGAGGGATCCTGGCCGTCCGACGACGCGCGCCACCCGACGAGGAAGTTGGGTCGAAGCCCCCCGTGTGTCATCGGCGTTCATCGCCGCGTGACGACGCCGCCGCTGCCGCCGCCGCCGTCGACGCCGTCGCCGCCGTTGCCGCCGTCGCCGCCCGCATATACACCGGGCATCCGGAATACATGTACGCACAGACACGCGCACACACTGGCACACACGCGCGCACACACACGTGTCAGACAAGGGACAGACGAAGGATGGAAAGAGAGAGAGAGAGAAAGACTGACCGTTCCTCCGACACCGTCTCGCTTCTCGATCCGGCCGCGAGACGCGAGCACGGCCGGAGCACCGACGCGGACCGGGTTGTTCGACGGCGACACGAAAAAACGGCAGGTAATATCACGCGCGCGAGCGCGAACGCGCACATGCACGAGGGAACGGACGCCGACAAGGACACCGACGGAGAGCGCGTTCCGCAACGCACTGGCGAGAGTGGCGAGACCGTTCGCGGAGCGCGGACGAAGACTCCCGAGGCCAACGACTCCCCCCACCAATCGCGCGCGTTCGACCCAGCTATACATCCCCTCTCGTGCCCAATCCCGCGCGACCTTCCCCTCCCGCCCGCCGCGCCGTCTACTACACTCGGCGCAGACTTCTCTTTCTTCCTTCGCCCCCCTTTCGCGCTCTCACTCCCTCTCCCTCTCCCTCTCTGTTCCTCTTTCTCTCTCTTCCTCAACGTCACTCTTTCTCCTTTCTCTCGCTCGTATTCTAACATATTTATTATTGCGAATGTTCAAAGATGATTGAAACCCAGACCCCTCGATGTCCCGTTCCGACATGAAGGGCGATTAAATTGCACGCGTGACGCTAAAATATATTTTTATTACGCACTCCGTCGGGGAGCGCGCGGAACGGACTCGTGTCTCGGATCCTCTTCGCCGTCCCACGCTTCACACCACGAGCGGAACGGACTTATTCAACCCCCTCGCGTTCACTCTCGTCCTCCCCTCCCCGTTGCCCATCCGTCCATTCTATCTCGCGTCGCCCACCCTACACCCTATCCCCTCCTCCGTGGAAGAGAGGAGGAAGAGAGGAGCAACAAAGCGCGCGGGCAGGACGAGAGACGTGCGCGCGCGCGAGCGCGCGCTAACATGTCGTCCTTCCGCGAACTTTCTCCTCCTCACATCCTTTACGCCTGATATTCCGCTCCTCTCTCACTCTATCCGCTCGATTCTCCCCTCCCCCCCTCTCTCTCTCTCTCCCTGTTTCTCTCTGCCTCACTCGTCTTTCCCGTCTAACCCATAGATCTACATCTATTTTGAACCGCTGCCGCGCGTCTCCCTCTCCCCCCCCCTACCTGTCGCGCTATATATTTTCGTATCTGTCGTTCGGTGTATTGCTTCTACCCTCGTACAACCGAAACGCGCGGCGAGTGTACGTACCCTTTCTTACGGGTGGGAACGATCTATCAATGAAACAAAAGGAAAGGCGCGAAGGCGACGAGGACGGTGACAAAAGGGCGGCGACGGCGTCGGCGGCGGAGCGGAGGGGAACAGGGGCTCGGGAAATCCTTCCTCTCTTTCTCTCTCTCTCTCTCTCTCATCCTCCCGCGCACGTCGTCGTCGACGGCGCGAAACCATTACCCCGGGAATGTTGCGCCGTGGATTAGTTTGATTATCGACATGCGGCGGCGCCGAAGCCGCGAGCAATTTAATTATGGAAACGGTATGCTGCAAAGGACGAGCCCGCGATATCCAATTAGTTTCCACGGGGGTTGCTGCGCGAGGTCCGTGCACTCTCTCGCGGGCTCTCCTAACGATTGCTAACCCCCTCGGGAGACACGCTAACTGTTCGTATAACTGTCGAGAGCCCGAATATGCCCGCTGACTGCCGCGACGATCCTCGTCGGTTTACAGAATCACGTGTAGATCATGCATTTTCCATGGAGAATCGACGTGGATTTGTTGCCGCCGACGTTGCTTTAAGCTATTAATCAACGAGACGTCGGATTACGCAGACACGTAATATTTAATTAGAGTCGATATATATTAAATTTCCGTGTCGAATAAATTATAAATTTCGATCTTCGAGCAAGACTGAATCGTGACGCTAATCTCGTCAGTCAATTGCATTTTATATAAGACTTCGGGCGCGCAGATACCTAAATCAGGGCGTAATTAGCGCGCTACTCGATACGTCGAAAATAACGAGGTATAGCTCGAGGGCAAAGCGAGTTAAGTGAGACGCGATCTCGTGCGAAGCGCGCAATCGCCCGAATATACATTTCCGCTCGCGAGACCGAGTCGCGCCATTAATTCGCAATCGTGTCGCGCGAGCGCGAAGTCGATATTCCCCGTGGCGGCCGCGTCTCTCTCTCTCTCTCTCTCTCTCCGTCTGTTTCTCTCTCTTTCTCTCTATCTCATGTTTCCTTTTGACGTCACGAAGTAACGAGAGTAACGTCGAGAGAGTCGTCGAGTCATTCCCGGAGACGCGAAAAGATTGTTTCGTCTCCGGATTCGGGATCCTCTCCGGGAGGCGGAGAGGCGAGTAATCGCATAAAAGACACCGAGATTGATGGCGAAAGCCTTTTTAACGAGACGCGGGGGCGAGGAGCGCTAATCAATAGCCCCACCAGCAGGCACACGGGGGCCGCCGCCAGCGTTATTCGAAATAAATTCTAATACGTCCACCGCCGGAAGGGAGACGATTACCGGATCATTGTTCCGTTCGGCTATTCTTTTCGGCCATTCTTCGCACCGCGCGGCTCTCTATTTCCTTTTTTTTTTTCCCTCCACAGGCTCCGATAGCGCGGCCTCGATCGCATTAGTCGCAATTAGCGCGGAATTTATCCGAAAAGTTGCTAACGCCCCCTCCGTTTGATTAATCGCCCTTATCATCTGGACGAATTGTTATAGGAATATTCGTTGCCGAGCGAAGAGATAATTACCTATTATACGCTTTCGTTTATCGTGTCTCATTGAGTTATGCATATATCTGATCGCTCACGTCCGACTGTCGCAGAAATAAACTCGTTTCTACAACTTTCTTTAAATTTAAAGTTATTTCAAATAATAAATGTTCCATTACTTGACATACTAAAAGGATTATAATAGATATATATATATATATATATATATATATTATTCTATATGAAAGAATTATATACATATACATATCGCAAGAAAAGTGACACAAGTCAAAATTTTTGCGAATTTCGTATCATATGTGGAATATTGTGTTCTAATATAAGACGTTCAATCAGAAAAAGTGATACAACATTCAAAAAATTTTAACTTGTGTCACTTTTCATGCATTATGTATTATATAAATATGATTATAAAAAATAATATATTCAAATTTAATTATATATTTCAATTATATATTGTATATTCAAATATATATTTCGTTTTAGAGTTATATGAGAAAATAATTTATATCGCGATTATTCGATCGTTGACGTTAAATTTCCCGTTAAATAAATGAATCCATCATATCTCGTTGTCGTATAATCGATTCAGAGGTAAATTCGAAAAATAAAGGATGCCACAAAGAAGTCCAATTTTTGCTGTGCTGGAGAAAAGTAAAATACGTATTATTTCGTATAATTTTTGCGACGAAAAATTCGATACAATTAAAATTACGTTGATGGGAAAAAAATAATATAAAAAATTAATTTTCGAGAGAAGTCGTTAGGCTATAATTGTATATGTATTAGTGATACAAAATGTAATGTACAGTCGTGGACACATCGGTTGCGACACATTTTTTTTATAGGTTTTTAATATATATTTAATATACACGATATATACTTTATAAATAACTAATATTTTGCAAATGCGAACCACGATGTACTATATCTTTAGTCTAGAGACAGTATAACACCAATCGTGGTCCACATTTGCAAAATATTATAGTGCGTTTTGAAACTTATTAAAAAAAGTGTCACAACCGATGTGTCCACGACTGTACACTGAGAGAAAAATGTTTGATATTAGTAATAATAATTATATGTATAATTTTATCAACACATATATATAGTTTTGGGGGGTCAACTATATTATATAATTGACCCTGAAAATGACTAAATTATAGTTAAATAATGATAATGGCAACCATTTTTATGGTAATAATAACTATAATGTATAAGTTTCAAAATTTGCTAATGTCAACTGTATATATTTGTTTATAAAACTATATATGTAATTATTATTACTAACTAAACTATATATTACTAACTAAACTAACTTAAACTATATATATAATTATTATTACTAACATTATAATTGTAATAATCATAATTATATAGTTACAAATAATTATATACTAAAAATTTTCTCTCAGTGTAAATCAGATAAATATAAAAAAATCCATATTTGCTCTATATATTAACGAAATTGGAGCGGGACGTAACTCTTATATGATATTTCAAATCTTCTAGAAGAAATGACAGCGACTCGCAGAATATATACGCGATTCTTGTCAAAGATAAAGAGTTTCTTTCCCGGATGAAATTTCAGATAAGATATATTGCCCTCGAAGTCAACCGACCGATGGCGGGATCGGTTGGGTGAGAGGGGGAAAAACGTTGGTGTTTCAACACTTCTGTCTTCTCTTGCGCTTGTTTTTTGCTCTGGCCTGGTCTCGTCTTTGCTAAGGGAATAAGCTTGTAAATTTAACGAAATTCCGAGAAGGCGAGTTTCGCCAACGGCCGCCATAAATCCAGCTCCCGTCGCGACTCGGCGGGGGGTTGCGTTACGGCAGCCCCCCCCTTTCTACAGCCCTACTTAGCGATTAACACAAAGCGAGTTAAATATTTACTTTAATCGGCGCTAATCAGCTATAAAAGGATTTCCTAATCCACGTCGAGACCCGCGGGGCGATTTATTGCGATAATAAAGCTCACGACAAATTAATTACTCCTACATCTGTCTCCGCAAAGACGGATTCACCTGTTCGGTAATAAGAATTTATCTCTAAAGGCGTTTCATAAATTGCAAATATTAAACGATCCATTATATGTAGATTAAAAAGTATACGAGGAATGAGACGAGAATGCAATAAATTAATAAAGAGAGCACTGCGAGAGTCGGTGACGTGAGGAACTTTATAGTTTTCTCTTAATTAGGTCGTGTCAACCTTGGCTCTACACGAACGTGGATCTCCTCTTCGTGACCTGCATACGGCACTTTGGATTGCCCCGCGAATTTACAGGAGAAGGAAGGAAGGACACGCCGTGAGACGTGTTCTTCCTTCCAGCGTCAAAGGCTCCCGGGATTCGAAGTGCAAAGAGAGATCTGGCGAGCGGAAAGGATTGCCTTGGGGTTCTTCCAAGTTAATATCCATCCACCTTTATTTCTCAAAATAGAAAATGTAAAAAGTGTATTCTTTAAAAAGACATTCGCGCACGCGAGATAGAATATGCACTTATTTCTTAAATTAATTCGTAAATTAAGCTAAAGTTATTTTTGAAAATTGAATTAGCGGTGATTTTTTAAAATTAATTAGCGGAATTGATGGCGGAGCGAAATATGTCGTCGATGACCGAACATAATTGTCGGGAGGGATTTTCCGAAATATGTCGGATATTCATTTTTATCTTTCTGTCAGATATCCTAATTAGGTTGTAGAGCGGCGTTTGTTGCTGCAAGAAGAATGCCGCGGGAGTGATGGCGAGGTAAAAACGGCGAGGGAGAATTCCATCTGTCGAACTTATAAACGATCGTCCTCCGCCCCGATTTCATTTCACGAGCCGTCGCACAACTAGACGCCTCTTCCTTCCCCGCCTCCCCTCATAATTGTCATAACTTCCTGCATTTTCTCGCCGTTCTATCACCGCTCGTACATCTCTCTCTCTCTCTCTCTTCTCTCTCTCTCTC